CAGGATACAGGAGATATTTAGAGTTCACTGGAAAAGCCTTTCCTTTGGTGTTGGTTAACAAATACCAAGAGCACTTTCAAACCTGATTGTTCACATACCCAGCATGTCTGACTGCAGCAATAACAACCCTTTGATACAATTAAGGTGTTATCATTTACTTGTGTACATTAAATTGAAGCTTGTATAGATATGTCAGAATTTTATACTTGATCAGATGTTGTGCAGAGTTATGTTCTTAAATTAAAGTCCAAGTTGTTGTTTCTGGGAGTGACTTAATAGCAGTAACCTTATGGTTAATCAACCATGTAGTAAAGTTCACTGTGCACTTACTGCAGTGTAATTATAAAGTGAGCAAAAATATAATTGATGCATTTTGTCAATCTGTGTAGCTGCAAGGTACTTTTTCAAAGGTTATTTTTTTATTCCGGTAAAATAAGTTAATGCTGTTTTGGCACTTATCCTTTGACTTCAGAGATTTTACTGCTGATTCAGGTAAAACCATGTGATAGATGAATAAAAATTATAAGTGTTTAAAAGTACAAAATACCTTCTGCAACAATCAGCAGCTCTGCCCTTGCAGCATACAATTGTTCTAAAAATCACTGAAAATACAGCAAATCCTGGTGTTTAAAGTGGGTTGAAAGTGAAAGATAATATTTTAATACAAAATAATACTTTTAAAGTATCCCTTAATTATCAGCACYGCTGTTTGTTATACAGTACAGGTAGAGAGAAATGGCAGAATTTTTCCCCTGAGCACTGACTCAGACTGAATGGGTGCGCTTGAACTTCCATTCCTTTTGTGARCAACTGAAGGAAACAGTTCTAACTCTTCAGGACCCCAAGAAAAAAAGAAATTAAGATTTCAATGAACATAGTATGTGTATGTGGTGGTTAGGTAGGTAACYTTTGCTCCTCACCCCACATTTCTCTGAGAACAAAAAAGAAACCAGTATTATTTAAAAGTGTGTATTCATATACAGAACAAGGTCATAACGCTGCAGTTCTGATATTTCAGTAATTCTTTGGTTATCTGCATGCCTTGCTGAAAGGTCCAGTAATGAGTCCTGCTGAGGAAGTCCAGTAGTGGACCTGCCTCATCCCTTTCCTGGTCCTTCTATCAGAGCACAGACACTACCACAAAGAAGCAGGACATGACTGCTTAAAGGAAATAAATCTTTTTCCACATGACTGTGACTTTTGGGGGTACATAGTATATATAACTATATATAGTATACATATTCTACAAACCTATATCATACATAGTATATAGTATATAGGTTTGTAGAAAATTAGGGAGGGGGGAAAGGCTGCTTCCTGCCTTTCCATSCTGTTGCAACATAGTCTTGACTGCAGTTGATAATCGATTAATAATTAATTATACATAACTTCCTTTTAAAACACCACAATTTACTGAAAAAAGGCAAGGACCTAATCCTGTACTTGACAGGGAAAACACTTTGAAACAGAAGATATGCAGAAATTAATTCTGCTCATCTGAGACATATTGTACACATTTCACTTCATCTGCAGCACATGGATTGGCTTAGCCATCACAGTGGCAAGGAGCAACAGACTGGGTCCATTTCAGGGCAAGGTTTACGCATCTCATGTGAGATGAGCTGGATCAATTTAAGAACAAAGCATACAAGCACAAGATTTCTCCAGGAATTCTCTTTTCCTCGTTCTTGTCTTTTCAGTTGGATGGAAAGCACCACCTGGACAACTAATTTCTTTCTTAAACTGATTATCCTTAATTGAATTACAACATTAAAGGAGAAATATATACTGGTAACAATAACTTAAAACAGCCTGGTTTACTTCTTGTTTGCAGTGAAACTAGCTTTACTGCCATCATCCTCAACAAAAGGGCTGTAAGTTTGCAGGCTGTGCTGATCCAAATGCCCACATCCATGGGAGTATCCCTTAGTTGACTCAGTAAAATGTATGGTTCCCAACTGATCCTCAGTGCATGTTGAGAAAGATCATTCTCCCAGAGAATATAGCTGGGAAGTATTACTTATTTCCAATGGCATAAGAACAAAATCTCAGAACAAGTCAGGCACCATGTGGTGAAACCTATTCAGCCCAGGAGTAGGTACATGCTTGCATGCATTAATCACTCTTCTGTGGGATAAACCTTTACTGTTAATCCTTAATTTACAGGGATTTCCAGGAAACCAACTCATGGTTGGTTTGAACTGGCCGTGTTTGTGGGTGACCTGACACGATGCTGCTGAAGCCAGCCAAAGTGGGGCAGTTCACACCAAGTAATTATCTTTGCCCAGCCTCTCCCTCAGCCAGAAAGTCCTCACCTGCTGGTCACCCCAAAGGTGACCCAGTTTACAGAGAGGCCAGAGCTGTGCCGGTCCCCCCTGGTGGCTCCTGAGATGAGGGTGAAGGTAGCGTACCATCCTCAGTTACTGAGCTGGAGGGATCCTCCTTCTTTCTCTCCTCCATAAACCTTTAGTGACCACTGAAGTGAGACTCTTCATGAAAAGAGCATGTGGGGCTTTTGCAGTGAAMGTGGCCAATTTATTCCTTTAATGAAATTAGGGACAGAAAAAGCTGTACTCACATAAATATATAAGCTGTGCTGGAGTAAACTGCATGGCTTAGGCACACACAGGAAAAAAATAGGGCCCAATATTGATAGCAATGCTGTGTATAAAAAAAGAATTTRTGGAATTAAGAATAAAACATGAGACAATTTGTTGATTTGCCCAGGGAATATGAGAGCAACAAATGTGTAGATTATTCTACGGCTGTTTTTTAGTGTCATTATCAGATCCAAGAACTGTATATAAAAGCATGCGGTCCTTCACATGCTAAAAGTATAGTTTGCTCAAACAATTGTAAAATATTCAGTATTCTTAAGATTAAATATCTGAATATTGCTTCTGAAGGAACAGCTGTCAGCTTAAATCTAAAGTCTAGTTTGTTTACTGGCTGTATTTTATATCCGTTAGAAAATGACACCAAATGGCAATAAAATTGTTGTAAGTATTCTRCAGGGGAATATAAATGCCCTTTGGTTACAGTGTACATATCTTTATACATAATTCCAGTATATTTTCCCTAGAATTATGTTAAATATGTAAAAAGCCTATTCTCATAAAGGTAAAAATGCTAGATGTTTCCAAGCTGTAATTTAGCATTAGTGTCAAGATTGCTTCAGAAAATAAGCTACGGTTACTGTTTCATTCTTTTTAAGTGTCACTCAGCATACCATATCTGATCTTGTATTCAAAATAAACTTATGTGATTTTATTCACTTTTCCAGAAGTGCAAGAGGGTTTAGGCATAATTTATAGCATATGGATTGATATAAATAGCTTAAACTAAGTAATGGGCTAGTCACCTACGCTGTCTTACTCTATTACCGCTAGATACTTTTCAAGTAATTAGGGAAAACAGATCTCTTTTATCTGTTAAGTTTAAATTGGATGAATCCTTGACATTTGTGAAGGCTTATTTGATAGATAAAATCATACTATACAAAAACTTCCTCTACAGAGCTGAGGTTTAGCAGGCCTATAATAAGAAACTGATTTTTTTTTTTGTTGAATTAAAGTGAGTTATCTTTGTCCTTTTAACAAAAAATCAACTYCAGTCAGCAAAAGTCAAGATAAAAATCACCAAGTTGGTGTTATCACCATGTAGACAGCTAAGACATACCACTATCATTAACTTTCCTGTGCATGGATTTCAAATACATTTAAAATGTTAAAATTCAATGATTTCCTGTATATTACAATAACATCAGATTAATGAATACAGAAAAGCATGAAAAGTGATTTATTTTGGGAAGGTCATTCCTTGGTTAACCAACATTTAAATTGAATTACTATAAAGGGGAAATATATTATAGGTAAAAAGGAAAATGGTTTTTATTGCAAGTGAATTCTATGAGTTTTACAATGCTTATGATAAAAAGACTGCACCTACAAGTTTAACCTCTATAATTTTTATGCTGCACATTCAAAAAAAATTATTTTACATTTCTAGGGCAATTTATGCATGTCACCTTGTACTTMATGTTCTTTTTAAAACAGTTAGTTTTACCTCATCCTTATGAAATATATAAAACTCCTTTTCATACCAGACATGAAATTTCTAGTTATACCAGGAAAGCTGGACCTCTAATGGGAATAAGATACTTAAAGAAACAAGTATTTAAAAGAAACTACTGGTTAGAGAGACATTTATTCCTAGCTAGTGTACTTCTACTCAGAACACTTACAAACTGGCTTTGCTTACTGGGAAAAAAAAAAAAAAAAAAAAAAAAATTAAAATGTGTTTTGGCTCCATGGATAAAATTAAGTTCACACTGAAGTGCTTTTCTGAATTAGAGCTATGAGAAAATCTTGCTTTCACTGAAATACAAAAGAGTAGGATGAGGCTGTAAATACGAAGTGAATTCCTTAGAAAATCTAAGGACTTCACAGGAAGATTATGCAAAATTCCTCTTATGCCTGTCAAAAAATATCTGCAGATACAGAAACAAATCTGAAGTTAAAGTCACCAAGAGTTGAGCACATGAATCTGAGGTGGAATTTGGCCTGGTGATTTCAAAGCTGCTCTCATGTTAGTATGTTTGGCAAGAGGAACACTGCCCCAGACTATGCCAGCCTGCACACACACCTCAGTTAGATGAATTCTAAGAAGCTACTGCTTATGCTGGTGGTGCCCTCCAAACAATACCTATATTTGCACATGCTTTTTCAAAGTTATTATAACTTCTGTGTTGTTTTCTGCCACATTGCTCATTTCCTCCTATTTTACATATTCTTTCTGAAGAACTCCGACCAAAACCAACACCCATCATGCTGTAAATGGTACAAAGCATTAAGTATCCAATGGACTGGTCTTTAGTGCCCAAATGCCTGAACTCATGAGTTTCTACTGCAGCATTTAGGAATAAATGTTATGGTTCTCTCAGGTATGATTCCTGAAACTCCTGAAACAGAAATTAGGAGTCAAAGTCTTTTCATTTTACTGTCTTCAGAGTTACATGCCTTCTGTTTCTTAGTAAAAGTGAACAAACAAACAAAAATCCATGCTAAAATATTTTTATTTTCACCCTTGGTATGTTACTGTAAAAAAAAAGCAGGATTGTTTTGCAGGAAGAAGGGGCATATAACCCACAGTTCCTAGATGCTGTTGAATTACTCCTCGCATTCTGCAGTTGTATGAGAGCACTAGACCATCCAGAAGAGAAAAATAAATCAAAATTGATTKTTTTCTTGCTCTGTGAACTCTGTAGATCAGGTAGATACATAAACAAAGGTAAGACACGTCACAATTGCCACAGACCATCCCTGTTCTTATAGACCATGTTCCTACAGTCCCAAGACAGCATTTAATAGAAATAYCTTGTCTCTGGAGAGGGGAAAGGTCATTCTTTCTGATGAAGAAAGAAGAAAGGCAGCTGTCATTCCTATGACAGAGARAGAGAATAGGTGACACTCTCTGCAATTGCCAGTGTGGAAGAAGAGCCCTCCCTCCTTCACCACTACTGGAAAGGTGAGGAGAGGAATGAGAGAGCAAAATGGGAGCCTGTCTTGTTTCTTCTGGTGATGTGTTGCACCCATTCTGGCAGAAAACAGGCAAGATTATGAAATTATATTATGTAGGTGAACTTCTGGATAATAGAAGTCTTATTTACACCAACGAGTGATCCAATGGAAACTGATTAAATTTAGAATAAGGGGAGACTTCTGACCAAATAGACTATAAGGATCCAGAATATTCTTTCCATTGAATCACTGGGAGCATAATACCTAAGATAGACTAGGGTTGGGTAAACTATATTACCAGAGTCTTTAAAACTAGCTCTAGATTTTAAAACTGAAAAGATTATTCCACGAAGTCCAGGTGCTTTTACTACATATAACATTGCARTGCACCCTTAGCTCCAAAATTATTTTCTAACCCCACTCATGTACCCCTGCTTGTCTAGCTGGAGCAAAGGGGAAAAATAAATGTTCCTGAGAGGTGAAAATAGCAGAATGTTTTAAAGCYCAGGTGTAATTTACCCCATGGCAGCAAACTTCTCACTTGTTAGTGTATAGTTTTAAAATTCATTTGATATTCCTAATTTGGAACTGGAGTAGAAAGCCCTGACCTATAAAGCACACAAATATATAAATACATCAGTTATCAAACCAGTGTATGACCTCTATACAGGCTTTATTGCAATTATTAGTTAAGCACATTTCTTACATGTAATTGAATTTAGATCTACAAGTGAAAATGCTGTAAAGAATGCATTGATCTCCTAAATTAGATGTGCAGCTTTAGCGACAATGAGGTAAGACTCAGTCATGGATTTTAGGGATAGGCTATCTTATAGTCTGGTATGGGAAATTATTAAGAAGTGGCTCGAGACATCCACATTATGCACTGCTTACTTTGTGGATGCTGGAAGCTTSTCAAAGTCTCACCTGGGAATGCAAAACTACATTGTATGACAATGCATTTCTTCTCTCTCACAAGTAGAGAACAGATCTATGAGCTGAACCAATGCRCTGGGTTGCCTCGGGTGTTCAAAGACCCTCCTTCCAAAGACTGGTGCAAGTTGAATGAAACCTCACCACTAAAAAGCTGAGAAGAAATTAATTGGGAAAAACCATTCTTTTAAGTGATGTGTTTGTAACAGGCAGAAAACAGGAGTTGGGATGCCTGGTTGAGCTCCAACATGGAAAAGGTGTTTTTGCAAAAGTCTAGGCAATTATTTGTTGGCAGTGTTTCTTCAACAGACTTAGGCATGGACCTGGATTTGCCAGTTTCTTTGTTCCAGTAATTAAGTTCCACTTCATGTAGGCCACAAGCCTTCTCTTGTTTTCTTTGGCCAGCTTGAAGACTCCGGTGTCTTCACTCCTGTGAATCACAAGCTCCCTGGGCAGAAAATTATGTTTGGACTTCTCCAGGACTGTTTCCTTTAAATTAAATTTTCTTTAAAAAGCCAAGTAGGGCAAAGACATTAAGAATGACATATTTAATGAAGAAAACAGCCTTGTAACATTAACCAAAGGAGCTGAAGCAATGTTTGCCTCATGCTAAGAAGATGTACTTGAACCTTCACCTTAGAGGTGGGCAGCTGAAAACACGAATTTCATCATAATTTGTGCCAGYTTTAGTAAAAGATCTCTGTGATAACTCTCCCACATCTTATCTGGKTAGGTAAAGTAATATTCTTTGACTTTACTTTCTCTTAAATGCCAATCTTTTTTTTAAGAGTCTCTCAACACAAGACCAAAGGCAAAATGGAAATRTTCTTCTTCAATGCACTTAAAACAAAAATGGCAAAGCAATGAACAAAATGCAGCCATGAAACAAGTAATGGGTGATATGTCTCTTTAATACCATCCTGTATTGTATTTTAGTGCACAAGCTGCTGAAATGCTGACAACACCACGATTCAATCTAAAAGATGCAAGATGCCAGTAGGTATTCTGTGCCTTAGCTCTGTGTATCTGAGCACAAACTAGGTGAATGGCCATACTTGTAGTAATGGCTGTCTATTAAATGTGCACAGTACTYACCCTGTATATTTATATATATATAWAATAATAATTCCCGTACAGAATGACCTTATGTGGTTCTAAGCAGTATATATTTATAAACAATCTCTATGTGTGTAGTTTCAGTGTATATCTTACATAATTGCCTTTAAATGGCTCTATAAACAATCCTAAATTGCTACTTTGCACTGCAAATGCATTAACTCATTGATTATACACTACTGTTTAGGAGTGAGGCCTTCCTATGGAAGCTTTCAGCATGGATTTTTGGCGGGGTCAGGCACGGCCTGTTTTCCTGTTTTGACTCTGACCCAGTTCTGAAATGCACCCCTTTGCCTCCAAAATCTGCCAGCGAGGAGTCTGCCCAGACCTACCTCGACGATAGCCCCATCAGGGAGCCTGAGGAAGCGCCTGTAGAGCTCCTGGCAGCCGCTGAGGTGAACCGTGTAGACACAGATGTGAACGGTGGTGTTACCTTTCCAGCTGGCTGCAGCATCGGGGATTTCATCCTGGGGCTGGAGGTCACAGCTGGAGACACCGGGATGGCTGGCGTGGTCCTTCCAGATGTAATCAGACACTGCCACCTAGTGAAACACAGCCCCCCCGCCCCCCGGACACGCACACAGAGACCCCCACCCCCCACCAAAGGAACATATTTAATTAACTTCTGGCAAGAGCTTAACCGATTTAAAATGATTTTACAATAAATCTGCAAAGCCCGCACCATATGCAGTGCTTGCGCACCGTTCTCTACTACATATTTTTTTATGACATAGATCTAAATAGAGGAGAAAGACAAATCCCCAGTGTATATTCTATAAAGTTAATTCTGCACAGATGAAGCTGTAATTGACTCCCATATTAACCAAAAGTAGGGAGATCAAGCAGGGTAGGTTAAACAATAAAATGGCAATGCTGATTAAAAAAAAAAAAAATGCTTCCCAAGAATTTTGTGAGCGAGTATTTGTATTTCTCTCTCTTTGAGAAGCCTTTGCTCCTGTACCCACAAGCACTTTTTAGTCTCTGATCTCTGTATAATATTAAAATAACCTTGTGCTGCTAACTGAATTGTAGATGAGGTGGAGTAAATAAGGTGTATTTTAGTGCATTGTGCAGAGCTAGTTTATTAACAGTTACCCAGCTTTCTAGTTTGCTCTCAACACATTTGCTTTGGTAGGTTTGCTRTCCCCCTGCATCAGTCAGAATTTACATTTAACCTTTTTCATGTTAATTCTTACACAGRCTGAGCAGAATTCAAGACTTCAGACAGATCATAGCACAAGGCTTAAGCACCCTTTATCCTTAACAAGAAATGATGATGAGAAGCATTATTTTTAGACTGCCCCTGAAGTGCAAGTGTAAGCTTTTTAACCCTCTCCTTTTGCAAGACCTATTTGTCACTCATTTTCTCCCATGAGATGCTACTCCTATTTGCAGAAGCAAGGGATTGGTGATATTGGAACATCCTTACAATACATCAGCACGCTCTTCCCAAACACTTCTATTTAATGTAGACAAAATACCTCTTTTGCTGGCCTAGCTGACACTTATTCTTTCAAGAAGTGCGGCAGATATGATTGGAACTTACTCACAAACTTGCTGAAGAAGAGCTCTCCTTTGAGACAGGTGCATCAAAAGTTTCTTCTGCATAGTTTTGCTTTTACTTTTGCTGAAATGAAGAGCTCATATTCTTACAAGAGTTCTCAAAAATCACCAGATATAAATTTTTCCCCTCGCTTGGGAAAAGTTAGATTTAGCTCCGTTTGCTGGTGTTCCAGTTCACGTTTCCTCAGCTGTTCTTACTCATTACGAGGAATCCCCTAACTAGCACAGTGTGCCAATGACATGATCCTGATGTGCATGCTGCTATTCTGAGCCACTGCCTTAGGAGAGGATTTGTTTTAGGTGAATTAAGAAAGCAGGAAAACATATAGGAAATTATCTTCAACTTTTTTTCCAGGAACAACAGAACAATAGGATACTTCATTTTAATGCCAGCTTTCATTTACATCAATTCTAATGATTTTTTTTTTTTTTTTACATTTCAGAACAAGGAAAGGTAATCTGAAATTTAAGGTAAAATTGAGACAGCCTGAATTTTCCACATCAAAGTCTCTGGGGTTCAAAGGCTTCCACTCAGGACAACTTTTCAGGGACACACTGCAGTCACAAGGACAGGACCAGCCCCATGTTTTCTTCTGTCTACCAAAAGAGGATGTTTTCATTCCTGCATTACACAGTGCTTTAATGTGGCTAATGGTCTCAGGAAAGCACAAAGGCAATCTCCATTGGCACAGCRTTGGCTTAAACACAGACAAGCAGCTGCAGGAGCTGCCACACCACAGCCCCTGCCTGGTTACCCTCCTCTGCCTCACAACCAGAACTTCCAACCCGGCCAATTCAAGACCACCAAGGCCTTTCTGGCTTCATATCTCCTCCCTGAACTATGGCTTCAGGAAAGATAAATGACTGGGACACCCGGCTCGGAAACTCAGTCCTCAGGAAACACAGCAAATCTCTGTCATGATCCTCCTTTCATGATAGATACAATTCCCCCTGCATTGCTGGCAGTGTTTTCTTCCCTCCTTCGTCCCTCCTGAATCAGTCCCATGCTTTCCCCTGCTTCTTGTTTGACCTTCATCTTATCTCATTTTCACTGAACCTGCTTGTTCTTCTCTTGTGTTTGTCCCTGTCAACTCGTAGGGGGCTTATTTACCTTGCGTTTTGCAGGCCAAGGATATGAACACCGCACTCTTCTTTGCAGCTCCATTTTGACCATTTGAGCTGTGAGCTCTGGGASCAAAAAGTATTCATTCTGTACTTGTCCAGCACAAAGGAGAACATRGGCCTTCAATTGCTTTCATACAATTTTTTTCAATCAGTGCCACATTTGAGTGTAATTTAGAACACATATTTATTGTGCAGGAAGCCAAAGCTATGTCACTCAAACCTTTGTGCCTGAGCAAACCTTCACCTTGCCAGGGYAGAGACCTCTTTTGGAAGTCCTTGACTCTGGGTGCCATCTGCATGGCACCATACCTGTACAGGACCAGGTATGGCACCTGAAATCTCTCTCCTGCCACCTCCCCAAGAGCACACAGTTCTGCAGGGTAGTGGGACCAGACAAAYCTCCCTGACCTGTTGTCACATTTCAAGATGCAGTGTAGTCCCTCTAAGGACTCCCTCTAGTACTTTATGTGACTAGTCAAGRGAACATGATGATATTGTGCCACATGTGCTTCTTTCCCCTCTCCCCATCCAAAAAAAACCACAGACTGATCATTTGACAACTGTAAGAGAAAAGGCACCACCAAACCTGATGGTGCTGTGATGAGTTGCATAGCCTTGGTAGGCATTAAAGGAAGGAAAGAAGACCTTTTGCTGGAGCAAAACAAGCAGCACATGTTAACCCTTCCTCAAAGTCATCTGGTAGTGTGAGTTTGCCTAAAGGCAGRCCCTTCAATAAGTGGAGAGATACAACCTTTGAACACCCATTCCAGGAAGGGGGAGCAGCTCTGTTTGTGGCTGTGGATTTAGAGACCACAGCACAGAAGGACCTTTCCATTGCCTCCTTGCTAGCACCATCTGAAAGTATTTGGCAGACAGATGTCCACTGCCTTGAATCTCTCAAAACACATTTCTGTGACGTGATAAGTGACTAGAGAGCTGCTGTGGCCTACATAACCTGAAGTAAGCTCCAAAAGTAAACTCTACTGTCATCTGAAATTTCTATCATTAAGTTAATCAAAAACGTCCATTCATTTCTACAGGAATACAATATGAGTTAATAAATCCACGGGGACAGGCTAATCAAGAGACTGTGCATATAGGACATGTCAGAGAAACTGAAGTTAGCTRTGATCTAGATTCACAAGGGCTGACAAGAAACCACAAAATGCCAGAGCAGTGTACAGTAACCCTTAAATGAAATTCATCTTTCAGCAGAAAAACACATTAAGGATGGTAATTCAATGATAAAAGAGGCAGGCCAGAACAGGTTCAAATGCTGAATATTTCACAACATAACTTAATTAAAGTGGGAGTGTGAGGCTGTTAATCGCTTTATAATAGTTCAGCTTGAAATGAGATCTGATGTGAGTGCCCTTATAGTTTATTTTTTTATATTATAATAATCACAAAATGTTACACAGACCTAATGCAAATGTAMAATTTTCATTGGCTTTATTATGTCGGAATTTTTTTTTGCATTTTGGTCCTTCTATCTTTGTGCAAGTACGCAAAGGGAAGAACTGGGAGGAAGGGTCATGAATTTAGGTCAGATCAGATGATTCAGTAAGTCTCATGTGGGTTTAAGTCTTATTAATAATTTTAATACATTCTTCCTTGACAACAATGATTTCAATCATTGCTCGTTTAACGTACACTGTGACGTAAAAATACACAGGTTTTTAAAAGAGTAGAACATGCTTCTCCTACAAAAAAAGGTAAAGTGTGTCAACCCTTTGGAAATTACAGTGCATAGCCTAGAAAAAAAGACAAAAATACATTTGTAAGTACAAATACAAATGTATTTTGTTGTATAAACTCATTATGCCATACCAAGTGTAGAGAAATATGTTCTTGAAGTAAAACACATTTTAAACACAAATATATTGATAAATATATATTTATAAATATATTACACAGCTCAGGCAGAGACAATTAATATTACTAGTATTTCCTAGGTCAGAGTACAGAAAATGTCATGTTAGTGTGTAAAGGTGCTAGGATGTTTTCTATTGTTTGACAGCTTTTGTGAAAGAAGAAAGAAAAGACTTTTTCTTCAGCATTTCTGAGCTACAGCGGGAATGAGAGGAAGGCTGACTTCTAGTGTCTTAAAATAAAAGACATCAGCATAAAAAAAAGTACTTTTCAAAAAGTTGAGAAATATACATCTCTCCAAGCACTTGATTATGATTAGTCCTGATTAACTGCTTGCAGCAGCATTATTATTAGCAATGTCATGTGAATCGATTCCAGCCTCATGCATTGCAAAATGTAAAAGAAATTGTTTGAAAATAGCATTCAAAGAAAATGCGTAAAATGAACAAAATGAATGAAATCGACCAGTGGAGAATGCGTGGGACTGAGTGCTGGTCCTGACAAATAATTAGCAAAACTTACAAGCTGTTAACTTCAGTCAAAACGGAAAAAGTGTTGAAATTATAGGGGRAAAAAAAAGACATCAAAAGTCGAGGGTGCTGTATTTACTTCAAGTAACTTTCATAAACATAGTAAGTGCATTTTCTGTGGTAAGAGTTGTAAATATGTGAATTACTATCCTGGAGGCAATCTTTGTTAAACCAGTGTAGCTTTACAATTTAAAAAACAAAAGCTGGTTAGTGCTAACCTCTGAGGAAAGCACAGCACCCCTTAAGCATTACAAACCCCATTTCTGACACACTAGCTAAAACCCTTGCCAGCAGCTCTGGTAAAAGAAGAATTTACATGGAAATATCTAAAAACATCCTTCCTGTCCGTGTCAAAAGCACCTCGGTGGCATCCAGGTTCCAGTGAGACCACCACTGGCCCTCATGCAGAATTAGATGTGACAGWGGGGAAGGTTTCCAAGCC